AGACCAAAATAGAGTGAATATTGGACTTATATTCGTCGTGTGGCCAGAAACATTGGTGTATCAATCTGTCTCTTCCTTGATTCAAAATAGAATCATTGCAGTGAATTATGGTCACTGCACGTCACAACAACATTTTTGGCATGTGGTAGTATCACAATCGTTTTAAATTTCTGTTTGCGAGAACCACTGGTCACATATCACAGCTTCTGTAATGAATTTTTCTTTTTTTTCTTTTTTTTTTAACCATGAAACTTTCATTATTTCCAGGAATGTGTGACAATCAGCTCTTTGAGTTTTGACTTGTAATGTAACACATGATGTGTTTGGTGTCAGAATTTAGAAGTGAGGAAAGTCTGATACATGTCTTTTATTTTGGCCCTGACTTTATATCCACCATCAGAAGTGATGTTATGCAGTGTGCATCCCAAATTACAAGCCGATGGGCTCAAGCCTTGTGAATGTCTGCAGTCCCATCTACAACTCAGAACACAATATATTTTGAAATTTGTGTGTTGGGGGGGGTCTATCACTGTTTTAAGTCTGAACTATGCCAGCTCCTCTAAATGAATCTGTAGGTACATTCCCACTTGTAATGAATATTAATGAGAACAACTGTAAACACTGGAGAGAGATGGAACTAAAGCTCCCTTTAAGTCAACAATATCTGAGCTGCTTATGGGGTATAAATGGTAACTTTATGCCTATTTTCACCTTCTTTTTCATGTCACGTCTCCTCTGTCCTCCCCCTCACTAGGAACTACCAGAGGACATCCGTGCAAACCTGACGGAGGAGCTGCCTCAGCCCAGAGAAATCCCCAGGAAACTCAGCGAGTACACGCAGGAGGAGATAGACGCCTTCCCCAGGCTGTGGACACCGTATGTAGAAACACATACAGTCTGTTCTCAAACGCACACCAATGTCAACATAAATACAGATGCTGTCCGCACACACACACACACACACACACACACACACACACACACACACACACACACACACACAAGTAGGTGTCACTGTATATAAATGTGAATGCAGGATCTACTGTATTACACACAAAGAACCTCAGTACACACAAGATTAACAGGATCATTGATGAGTGTTGCACATTCATATAATGGTATTTTTGTTAAGTACTGTAGCAAATGAATAATGTTGTCATCAACATTGTCTTGCTTGTAAGTTAAATTAAATCACCGTCATTGGAATTGGAATTGGAGTACCAACAACAGCATTGGGATGCATGTAATTGGAATAGCTCATGTTGATGGAGTTGTTTTCAGGTATGCTATTTAATGTCATTTTTGCCTGCTTGGGTGATTATATCATACATGTTTTCAGTTTTTAATAATTGTGGTATAGTTGCTTCAAGGTGACATGTAACATAATGAATCTCCAGCAGAGAAAATGTACATCAAGTCATACTGGCTATTTAGTGCTATTTGTATTCAGTTGACTGAACTAAACAGAAAATGATACATTTTAATGTTTATGCTAATGCTAACCCCTGACCTCTACCTTCAAATGGCTCTTTTAATTGCCTGACAAATTTTACCTTCCTCACTTGGGAATCAATTTCTTACTTTTTTGTCCTTCGAGGATCATTGCACCATGAGTGATACACACACACACACACACACACACACAAAACCCCCATATTTTTGGGTGTTGTGCTGGTGAGGAACAGCCAGAAGGGGGCGATGTTGATCTTAGTGCCATCTCACATTGCTACTTCTCACACCCTCTTTGTGTAAACTAACCACCCTGCCTTTGTGCTACAGTAGTTGACATGAAGTAGCATTAGGTTACATCCTCTGAGTGTTTGGGATATTGCAGCCATGTGGTTATATCTTTAAATACTTTAAAGACAACAGAAATCCAGGATGGGATAAAAATAAGTTTTTGTATTTCGCATTCAAAAAGAAATACAGGTTGTTGAATCGCTGGTGAAGGAACAGTGCTGGCACTTTAACACAGTTTTGCGTTATTTTCATGGTCTCACTAAGCAACGTATGCATGAACGGATCCAATTCAAAAGCTTGCCAACCCCTCCTTTTTGTGGCCAGTTTGACTCTGACACATTCACTCATGCAAGAAAAAATAAGATGCAACAGTTTTCATTGTAACTAAAAACACATGTGGCTGTGGCGTGAATGATTGTCAGCCAGCAAAGAGCGGTCAGTATGTGACATGACACACAGAGAACATGGTATATAGACACTCTAAGGTTAAAAGCTCATATGATATTTATATTGTTCGTAAAAGTTTTTGTGATGTTTGCAGAGTTTTACCATTGTACATTATGCTACGCTATGCAATTATCAAACAACGTAACACTGAACAGCCCACTCAGTACTCCCTGCCTAGGTGTTGTGCCAGACATTTGAATATAAAAGGTGAAATGTCATAAAAGCTTGTGGGGAAAGTCAGCTGTTTCCCACCACTTCCTGACCGTTTGGACACACAAGGTTTCTCTGTGGGGTGTGAGAGAGCATCTGTTATTTGGCATAATCATATTCATGGGTTTTTCAGTGGAGTATTTTCTGTTCTGAGATTAGACTGACATTGTGACCCGCGGTTTGCTGTCATGATAATGTCGTCCTGTTGCATTTCTCTGGCCTCACCTGTAAGAACCATCATCCTGACAGGTTAACTGGGAGCATTCCCTCTACCACCTGCTCAGCACTAGCTTCAGCGTCCAGCTGTTTATGCAGGTCAGAGCTGCTCCTCTTCATCTGCAGGAGCAGTGGCTCAACACCCAAGTCCACTGGTTGTCATTAAGATCAAATTATAAATAGAAAAAGTTTCCCTTTCCTTTCAACCTTTAGCTGCATCACAGTATAATATTCAGCAACATCGTTGTTACTGCAGTCAATGCACTTTGACTCTCCAAGTTGTTGTGAATATTTGTATTTCACAAAGCAACCACCCAGTTAACAAGGCGACAGTGAAGCACAGTCATGAAACTTTTATGAGTTTCTTAAAGTCGTCATTAATGTGGTGTACGTGCAGAGTTGTTGTGGAGTTGTTTTTGCATTGCATTGAATACAAATATTAAACAGGGTGGTGTGGTGGTGCTGTGGTTAGCACTGTGGCCTCACAGCAAGAAGGTCGTGGGTTCGAACGCCGGTTGACCCAGGCTTTCTGTGTGGAGTTTGCATGTTCTCCCCGTGTCCGTGTGGGTTCTATCCAGGCGCTCCGGCTTCCTCCCACCATCCAAAGACATGCAGGCTAGGTTAATTGGTGTTTCTGAAATTGTCCTTAAGTGTGAGTGGTTGTTTGCCTATGTGTGGCCCTGCGATGGATTGGCGACCTGTCCAGGGTGTGCGATGGATTGGCGACCTGTCCAGGGTGTGCGATGGATTGGCGACCTGTCCAGGGTGTGCGATGGATTGGCGACCTGTCCAGGGTGTGCGATGGATTGGCGACCTGTCCAGGGTGTACCCTGGACAGGTCTAGAGGCATCCAGACATGCATACTGTTTTTGGTTTTATTTGTCCAGGTTTTCCAACCTCTGAAATGTCGGCCTCTGCCCCATTAAAATGGAGGTTATATATGGTACTCAAGGTATTTGAAAAATTTAACTGCTTTCAAGACATCATGTCCCAGTTACCGTGGAAAAAAGATATGCTTACAGCATGTCAGTATTACGCTCGGCATTGCTGTCGGAGGAGTGTGTGTGCATGTTTACTGGCCCAATCTCTTCAGCCAATCAGGGCACATGCCCAGGCCTGTCGCTGTGTGGTCGTCAAGGTCAAGCTAATTCTGGTTTATTTAAAAGATGGGCCATAGCCTAGTTAATGTTCCCTCACACTGTCTTATTCATTTTACTGATCGTGTGTGCGCGCGTGCATGTGCCCGCCAGCCCGTCAGAGGAGGCGAAGTTGAGGTCATCGAGGGCAATTCAATTGTTGCCCTTTATTAAACACAGTTAATATTCTCTCAGAAAACCTTGGAGCAGAAGCAAAAGATTATTACTGGATATGTGACTCCTGTCCCCTCTCCCCACGCAGACGCACGCACACACACGGTGCTCAGACAGAAAATCAACAACATAACCATACTGCTGTAGTTGATAGCAGAGCTATTACAGTTCATGATAACATTTTTTTTACTTTGTATCAAAACCAATACAGCATGCCATGATAATATCTGTCTGCTACAATCTCTGCTCAAAATTAAAGCAGAAAAACACAAAAAGAGGATGCTGTGTCTGGTCTCATTTTGAAAAGGGAAAAAAAACCCTGATAAGATCTTTCTGGTTTCTCATCTGTCATTTTCTCTCCATGTTTTTCCTTGTAATGGGTTCTTTCCCCAGACTTTTATACCCCACCATACTAATGTGTTGTCTTGTGTTTTTTCTACAGACCTGAAGACTACAAGATGAAATGAAACCGAGGCTGCCGACCCGACGTGACCAAAGCTGAAAAGGGTTTTTCACATCAACGCTACATTGAAAGCAACAGACCCCTTGGTTATGTTATAATACCTGACAGATATTGTAAAAATTGGAGTATTTGATGTGGAGATGTTGTTCTGTTTTTAAAACACACAAATTTTTTTTGTTCAGATTAAACATTACAAAACAGTCACATTTTGTGCAAATTCAGGAAACCACACTGGCATCAAGGCTCTACTGGACTTTACTAAAGCACTACTAAGTCGTAACTTGTGTGCCAACATCATCAACACAAACTCTGTGCCGCCTGACAGCAGACCTGAATCATCCAGTAACAGCTTGAGATTTTACCATGTGGTTCAGCTCTGATCAGAGAAAATCAGATTCTGTAGGTTTCCCTCTGATTATACAACCATGAAATGATCAGATCTGGCCCATAAAAAATGACATCTGTTAGTGCTGATCCTGCCTTTGAAGGTTTGTGGGTTCCAGTGAAACCAGTTAATGAGTTACTATGACAACGTTCAGGCCATCCATGTGGTTTCAGTAGAAATGCTGAACTTTTTGTCTGGTCAGAAATTTTAATGGTGTTGTTAAAGTATAAAGCAGCAGTGTTTATGTGAGTTGTAAAATAGGCTAATAAACAATTTAATAAACCTGTTCTCATCAAGTGGTGTTTTTATGTAAATGTTGTAAAATCTAGTCAAAGTTTGAGGTTAAGGTTCAGCAAATGACCTACAACATATTTTTATAGATTCATAACAGATTTATTGGTTATAAAAGCAAACAAAATACAAAATAAATAAGTTCATATTGTACTAAGGGGCGTGGTGGTGAGACACATGATTTAAAATGTTAAATAGGTCAATAGTTTAAATCTCAAATAGACCAGGGCCAGCTCACAGCTTAACTTCAGTGCTGGGGGGGGGGGGTTACATTACATTACATTTGTAGTTCAGTGCTTTTGGTTTCACTGAGCTTAGAATCTGCCGTTTTAAATAATAACTGGCTCCAGGTGTCATTCCAGCAAAAGATCAGAGGTCAGCCAGTGAGGAAATAGCTTCCAGGTAAGCAGACCTGACTTTGCATAAGAAGAATTAAAAAACAAAAAAATACAAAATACAGATTTGTCCTCTTAATTCACCACAAGTCTGAGTACTAAAACCCAGAAGGAACCTGGTCCATCTTTGCAGGAACAGGGTGAAATATCGCAGGGTGAAATGTAAAGGTAGCCAGATTTTCTCTGAATAAAAAAAGATAATTTTAAAAACTAAATTTGATTTGCATTCGACAGTGTTGAGGTAAAATTCAATAGAAAGTTGATGCATCAATTTAGGGGCTAAACTCTGTCAAAAGAAGCAAACTCAACACAATACTGTACGGAGAAAATCACTTCAAAAACAATTCAATATTCCTTTACACACTGAAGTAAAGACTGTGATTTATCGTTATAAAAAGCAGCCTGTACAAATGTTGCCGGCTCATCGTCCTCAATTTGAATTGTAAAATAATCTAGCTAATTGCGTACAAACAAAACAAGATGCACGTGTCCAGTTACACATGAATGGTCGGCTCAAAGGAGACATGCAGCTTCACACAAAAAGAAGGGTTTCAGTCCAGAAATCAGCTGTGAGAGGTCTTACCTTTACATTACCACTGGACGATGCAAACATAGATCAGGCACTTTTCGGACCCCCCTTTTACAGAGATATTGTACAGGAGTCCCCAGAGCTATTTACATTGTTTCACTGGAGGAGGAAACCACTGGATACACAGGGGAGGGGGTTCTCACCACAGTTTCAGATGGGGGACAATGTGTATGTGCATGTTAGTGTCTGATTTGTTTCCATGTGTGAATATCATGTGTGTGGTGTGTGTGTGTGCGTGTGTGTGTGTGTGTGTGTGTGTTGTGTGTGTTGTGGCGTGCAGGGCTCAAGCACTTTAGGTGAGTCCATCCTTCCTCTAAAGTCCTCCCTCCTCACTCTCTTCCATGACAACATCACGAGGAAACCTCTTGGCAACGCCCGGCGACCTCAGCTCCGTGTCCTCAGAGTGGGTGGGGCTTGAGCGATAACCGTGGTGGCCGTGGGCCTGTTGGGGGTAGTACTCAGGGGGATAACCACGGTAATAGGGGTCCTGCTCTTCCTCTCCCTCCTCCTCCTCCTCCTCCTCCTCGCCTCCTTGGTCATTGTTGTAAGCCACTGCAGGGTTGTACGGCTGGTTGTAGGGCTGGTAGCCGCCATGAGGCAAGGGTTGGACTGGGGTGGTGGGAATATTCAGGGTCAGTTTTGAG